CCCCAAAACCCCAAAACCCCAAAACCCCATGATTTGAATATATAAAGGAAAATTAGATATTGACTCAAATTATTTTTTAGTATTAAATGAAAGCAACTGATAGTTTGTCAAATATCATTAAAAATAGCAATTATAATTAAAGAACATTTGCTGATAGATTTTATCACAAAATATTTGGTAAAAACAACGCTTAAAATCAGTAATAAAAGCCAGTGATAAATATTATATAGCATAATAATCTAGGAATCTTACCAAGAAAATGATATAGCTAAATTCCAAATAATTAATTAGCTAATAAGAGATAAAAATTAGGTGAAAATTCAGACAAAGTCTCAATTGAAATAATCAAAAATAATTTTCATTCAAATCATCCAGATAAAAATGATAAAGATGATTTTTTTACCAATGATTTATGTCATAAATGTGGATAAAGTGGAAATTTGATAATTTGTGAATAATGTCCCAAGGTATTCCATCTTAGATGTATTGGTTTAACAAACTCACCTGATGGTGATTTTATCTGCTAATATTGCTAAGGTCAAGAAATAGTTGATTGTGCAAAATGCCTTTAGCCAGTCAGAGATATAGAATATTATTGCAAATTTCCTGATATGTCAGTTCCTTAAATTAAAAGAATTTAGCTAATTGCAATCTAATGTTCGCTTTGCTAAAGCCCAATTCATAAAGAATGCATAAAAATACCATTTGAATTTGTTTTAAAAGGTGCAAGATATTATGAATTCGGGATATAAGATATTGAATTAATACAAGATTTATAAAACAAGTTTAGGGATGCTAATATAACAACAGATACTTTGAAATGTCTTGAGTTAAAGTAAAGGGTACTTGAAATATTGTAGAATGATGATAGGATATATTATGTCTGTCAAGTATGCCAAGATTCAAGAAAAATAGATATTATTTGTGACTTAGAATTGACAGATCCGCTGAATAATGTTGATTTAGAAGAGGAAATAGATTTCCAAAAAAGTATTTGCTTAGTAAAATTTCAGTAGACAAGCTATTATCACTCAGTATGGCTAAATTTTGATACTGTAGAAGATCTAGCTAAATAGAAATGCTCAGGATTTATTAAAAAATATCAACTAGATACAAATGAGGATTACAAATTATATTTAGAGTAGATGAGAAATGATAGTTGTGGGGATAACTTTCACAATATTTTAGTTCAATCATTGATACCTGAGAGAATTTTAGACTAATACAAAAAAGGTAAGTATTATTTAGTAAAATGGAAATTAATTGATCATATTGGCTGTACTTGGGAGCATGTAACATTAGTTGATAAGATAATGAAAATGACAAAAGTTTTCTTGGCGCCTAATATAGAATAGAATTTATAAGGGGTAGAGATCACATTGCCTAGAACTAATAGCCAAAACAATTTGAAGAAACACCACAATTTTTAATAAAACAAAATAAATCACTTAAATTACATGAATATCAGCTCGAGGGACTCAATTGGCTAATATATTCATGGCTAAACAAAACCAATGTTATTTTGGCTGATGAAATGGGATTAGGAAAAACTGTTCAAGCTATCTAGACCTTTTTTAATATGTGTTCCACTATCAACAATAGATAATTGGCATAGAGAATTTTAAACTTGGTGTCCTTAAGCGAGAGTTATTGTTTACACATCAGACCAAAAATCTAGATCTATTTGCAAAGAAAGAGAGTTCTTTTATAAGATATATGATTAGAAATAATAATCATTAGGCACAAAATAATTGAGAAGTTTAAAAATGCCAATGTTTAATGTAATATTAACATCCTACCAAATAATTCAAAACGATTTTAAAACTTTTGCAGCCATTGAGTGGAAGTGTATTATAATTGATGAAGGATAGAGATTAAAATCTAATGAATCTAAAATATTCAAGTTAGCAAGCTTGCTTTAAACTGAACATAAAATTCTTTTATCTGGAACTCCTTTATAAAATAACATACAAGAGCTATTTAATTTGCTTGAGTATTTAGATCCATAGAAATTTAGTTAAAAATTTAGAGATGAATTTCAATTAAAACATCAAAACTCAATAATGGTTCAAGAGGGTTCTCATGGACGTATATTAAATAACAAAAAGAATTCTTAAAATTAAATTTCTGCTATTGATGCTACTAGTCCATCTACAAATGATAAAAGTAATTAAAGTTCTTAAGAAAAGAAAGATATATTGACACCTGAGTAAGATCTAGATATCGATTTAGAGAAAAATGCTTTAATTAAACTTTAAGAACTACTTAAACCTCATATTTTGAGGAGATTTAAAAAAGATGTCTTAAAGAATTTCCCAAAGAAAAAAGAGGTTATAATTAGAGTTGAGATGACTTAGAGGTAAAAATAGATATCCAAATGTTTATTGCAAAAAAATTTCGAAGAACTATCAATTTTTGAGAAGTAAAAATCATCTGCTAAAATTCAAATTAAGTCAGTTATGAATATATTAATGTATCTGAGGCTTATAGCTAATCATCCTTTCTTGTTAACAGAATTATACGGATCAGAAAATTTTAGGTAAACTCATCTAAATAAAGGTCAAATACTTTAATCTAAAGATTCTATGGTCACAATTGATGATTATAAAAAAGATTCAGGAAAAATGATATACTTTAACCAAATGGTCGATATTTTAATAGAAAGAGGCCATAGGCTCTTAGTTTTTTCATAATTCAAAGGTACACTAGATATCCTTTAGGACTTTTTGAGGATTAAAAATATTTAAACTTTGAGATTGGATGGCTCAACCTAAACTCAAAAAAGACAAAGATTGATTGATATGTTTAATAAACTTGATTCTCAAGTTAAGATATTTTTACTATCAACAAGAGCAGGTGGACTAGGTATTAATTTGACAACTGCGGATACTATTATCATTTTTGATTCAGATTTTAATCCACATAATGATATTTAAGCATTTAATAGAGCTCATAGAATAGGATAGAAAAACAATGTTATGATTTATAGGCTTGCATGCAAAAATTCTGTAGAAGAAAGAATGCTAGAGATAGCTAAACATAAGTTGATGTTAGATAAAATAATGAGTCATCAATAGAAGTAAAATTAAAATTAAGAAAGTAATACTCTATATGAAATATTGAAATTCGGGACTAAAAAGTTATTTGAAGATGCAGATGAACCGGAAGAAAATTATTAATATGTAATAGATGAAGAATAGATAAAAAATGTTCTTAATAGAGAAAAATAATTTAAAGAATTAGAAGAAGAGGAAAATTAGATAGATGATGAGGATGCTTGAGATTACTTAAGTGGATTTAAAGTCGCTAATATTGAAAAGAAGGTTATCTCAGAGAAACCATAAACAATAACACCTGATCAAATTAAAATTCTAGACCTCGAAAAAGATGTATAAAGTGATAATGAAATTGATGGAGGCTAAAAAGGAATCTGATGAGGTAGAAGAGAATGAAGATAAAAATTATGGAGGAGTAAAAACAAGAAAAAAGCTTAAGGATATGTAAACTTAAAAAGAATCTGTAAAACCAGAAAAATTTGAAAAAATCTAATCTGAGCAAATTTAGATACCTAGAAAATCTCACGAAATTAAAAAATCAAATCTATGTACAAACCCAAATTCAATTTAAAAAGCATAGTTTTAATAAAAAGAAGCTGAACAAATTTTAAGTAATAAAATAACAAATTAGTAATAATTGTAGTTGATAAATTAATATCAAAATCAAAAATAGTAAATAATTTTCCAACAAACTACTGAGCAGCAAATTTAATAAGCAGCTTAATATCAAATGCTAATGAATGGAGTAAGTTAGGCTTAATACATGATTCATCATGATCCTAGCTTAATATTTACTTAACTCTTAACATCTATTCCATTGATGTAATAGCAATAAACTATTAACTAGCTATCAATTGAAGCCTAATAAAGAATACAGTACATTTAATACCTCTTGCTTCAAGATAATATCAACAAGGAGTATCTAAATATTCTCTTGCTAAATGAAGATCCCAATATTCAAAGTATGATTCCACTAGTTATATTATGGGGATTAAACATGTAAAATATCAGAGATTATGTTATTTATTTTATGAAATTTGGAGTTTAAAATTCAAATTACTCTAAGTTACATAGAAAAATAAGGAGCAGCATTGACTAATCGAGCCTAAAAGATATTAGAGAGGATATTTTTATGGAATTTTCAAACTAGTTTTTTGAATTTCAAAAAATTGTATTGACAAATCTCAAGGAATTCTAGGAGATTCCCTAGTTTTTATTCATAGGATTCAATTTTATTTAGCTTGTTTACAGAGATTACGAGATAGGTTTAATCAGGAATTTTTGTAAAAAGTTGGTTGTAAATAAACTTGTTTAGCTAATCAATATGAAAAATGACTTAGATATGGAATGGGATTAAGTATATGATACCTATATATTATGCAGACTTATTAGAAGACATGGCTATGGAGAGTATGAAAAAATAATTAATGATTAACTCTGGGTAGCCACAAGACCCTAATTTATTCAAAATCTGATCAAACCAAACTAAAATATCACAGCTTTAAATCAATATGTGAGTTTCCTCAAAACTCGAAATGAAAATGACAATTTAAAAGATGCTTAAATACTGTAGCCAGCCTTGAGAGTGCCAAGGTTTATTCTATATTAAAAACTTTCAGGTGTATCAATAAAATAAGTTAAGGAGTAATTTTTCATAGACGATTAAAATCCTTAAACACTTGGAAATGTAATAGGATTTAATTCATACATAGATGAGTATTGTATTGGAAGAATGGATCAAGAAGTGTAATAGTTTATTTAAAACAGAAGAATAATTGAGTGCAATTAAAATTGATGGTTGATAAAATATTAAGCATTATTTTCTATTAAATATTAATGACTCTTATTATATTTCATTTTTGATGACGGGGTTTTGGGGTTTTGGGGTTTTG